CACGTCCAGAAACAGAACCCCTCCCACCAGCCCGATCCGCTTTACTATGGAAACCAAGTCCTTGGTTAGCACCCCCTCGATCTCCTATACCAACACTAACGTGTTTGCCAATACCCATGTTGGAAGAAGCAACCCAGGAATGGCCACCAGCACCAGGTATAGATCCAGCTACATCCCCCAAAACTCTACCACCAACAGCAGAATAAGGTGGAACCACCAAAGGACCTCCATAAGGAGTTGGAGCACCACGGCCAGGACCTCCATAAGGAGTTGGAGCACCACGGCCAGGACCTCCATAAGGAGTTGGAGCACCACTGCCAGGACCTCCATAAGAAGTTGGGGCAACAAGGCCAGTACCTCCATAAGAAGTTGGGGCACCAAGGCCAGTACCTCCATAAGAAGTTCGGGCACCACGGCTAGGGCCTCCATAAGAAGTTCGGGCACCACGGCCATAACTCGAAGCTGCTCCACCGGCTACATGTGGCAGAACACTAGAATGTGCTGGCCCCAATAGATCACTAAAATTCAAGAAGCACACAACATTTACAATAACCACTGAGAAGGTTTAAACTATATTCAAATTAAAGAGATCCCTACAGTTCATCACATGAATATTAATAAAATAGAAGAGATCGATCGCATAAATGGATATGAACTGCCGATGATGAGAGGGCACCAACGGAATGTACCTCCTGCGTTGACGATATGAGGCGGTGTCGGAGTATCTGGGATCGTAATTAGGGTTGTACATGGTAGAGCGGCAATCTAGCAGAACAGATGAATTTGAATGACTGCGCACTCGCGTAATTTAGGCAATTTGTACCATATGGTATCCTACCCAACTGCAAATCTAGCAGTTGACACTTGGGAGTTGTGATGAGGATTGCTTCATTTTGCTTGACGCTTTATGTTGTGTTTGGGTGGAGGGGAAGAGGAAAGGGTGGATTAGACCTGCACAAACACTCATCCAGCCCGAATTTTGATATGGCGTAAATTAATGGGTTAAGGACCCATTAATTTCGTTCAACTTATTTTTTTATTTTTTCTTATTCTTATTAAAATCAAATTAGATCAGATCGAATCAAATCAGATTAAATTCAATCAAATCCAATCAGATCCCATTAATTATTATTATTATTATTATTATTATTATTATTATTATTATTATTATTATTATTATTATTATTATTATTATTATTATTAGAAAAATGAAAAAGAATAAAATTTAGAAACAAGTTAAAAAGAAAACTGAGAAAGTAATACTTAATTATTAAATGTCGGAAAAATTATTTTTAAAATACATTGACAATGTCAATCTAATTCTACTTTTAAAATATATTTTTATTGCTACTTGTAATTTGAGTTTCTAAAGTTTTGATTTTTTATAAAGTAGAGATATTTTAATAAAAATACGATCTCTTATATATATACTGATTATCTAAATGTAATTATTTTTCAATGTATATTTAAATTAAATATTTATTCTAATGTGTATATGAAGTAATTATTAAAATATTAAATTAATATTCTAATTTCACAAAAAACTAATCATAAAATAATAAATATTATTACATTATAATATGAATGATTATTCTAATATATTACATTTTAACATATATAATATGAATGATTATTACATTATTACATTATAAACTAATTTTATTTTATTAATAATAATCATAAAATAAAAACATTGATTATATTATAATACGGAGTATGAATTATCATTACAAATTTCAAACATTTTATAAAGTCAAATCAAATTATTGATTTGAATTTTAAATCAAATCATAATTAATAGACCAGATCAGATCAGATCCAATCAGATCAGATCAGATCCAATCAGATCAGACCAGATCAGATTAGATCCAATCAGATCAGATCAGTTCAGATCCAATCAAATCAGATCAGATCAGATCCAATCAGATCAGATCAGATCAGAACTTATCATAATTAGATCAGATTAGAAAAATAAGTTGAACGGAACAGAGCCTAACAATGATAAAAATTCAAAATAGGAGTGGAAAGATTAAATCTAACCAATAGGAGTCGCCGTTAGTAACCATATCTTGCTCGCCGTTAGCAACTAGCCGTCAAAACCTTTCCAATTACCCATAAAATAGTAATAAGCTTCTTCGATTAGCTTGCTGCTTCTTACTTAGTCGAAGAAGATAGCGGACGACGAAGACACTCGATCAGGTGAAATTGCTGACGAAGATAAGCGAATTGCGACAAACAAAATGGCAAAGCGACAGAAGGTGACGTATCTGAGTTTCCAAATCTGAGTTTTCGTTGTTGTTCAATTGTGTTTTTCCAACAGTTTATATGGCGATGTTTTGAGAGATTGCATTGTGAATTTTCATTGTTCAATTGCGATTTTTTAGAAGTTGTATGGTCATGTTGTTAGAGATTATATTGTGACTTATTGTTGTTGTTCATTTGTGTTTTTCCAGTAGTTTATATGGTCATGTTTTTAGAGATTGCATTATGACATATTGTTGTTGTTCAATTGTGTTTTTCTAGAAGTTGTATGGTCATGTTTTTAGAGATTGCATTGTGACTTATTATTGTTGTTCAATTACATTTTTCCAGTAGATCTATGGTCATGTTGTTAGATATTGCATTGTGACTTATCGTTGTTGTTCAATTGTGTTTTTTCCAAAAGTTGTATGGTCATGTTGTGAGAGATTGCATTATGACTTATCGTTGTTGTTCAATTGTGTTTTTCCAGTAGATCTATCGTCATGTTGTTAAAGATTTCATTGTGACTTATCATTGTTGTTCAATTTTTTTCGGGTAGATCGATGGTTCATGTTGTGAGGGATTGTATTGTGACTTATCGTTGTTGTTCAATTGTGTTTTCCTGAAGTTATATGGTCATGTTGTTAGAGATTGCATTGTCATTTATCGCTGTTTTAAACAATCTTTTAATATACATGTATCACGTAAATTTGTGAAGAAAGGTGATAAAACACAACCTAACGATGTGAGAATAAACACTGTTTGTAATGTGCTCGAGACAATGCGTAGAATTAATGGCGTGTTGAGAAAGGAAAAGCTTGAAGTATTTAGAGGCTGTTAGTTGGCCTGTTACAAAGGTATAAGTTGCCAAAGCAAGAAATAACTAGATGTGAAGAAATGAAGTTCAAAATAAAGGGGAGAAAAGTCCTGCTCACAAAGTTAGAATTTGAACGTATCACAAGACTAAGAAGCAGAGGAAATAGAATAATTAGTTTGAATGATGAAAGGTTGGGTGACTTTGGGTTAAGGTATTTTTATACGAGAAAATTTGTTCAGCAATTTTATATTATGGATGCACTACTGTAGCAAAAGAGAGATGACCCTAGAGTAAAAAGTGACGATGTAGTGAAGCTAGCATTGTTGCATCTATTGGGCAATGTTATATTTGGGCACTAGTCATGTGTTACTTTTCCTATTGGATACATTAACCTAGTGGATAATCCTATCCTATATATATATATATATATATATATATATATATATATATATATATATATATATATATATATATATATATATATATAAAAGAGAGTTAGATAATTGTGGTGATGACACGTGGCATGCCACACGTGCATACTACTGACATGTGTCATGCCACATGTAAACCACAAGCCACATGTCACTTAATTTTGTATTAAATTATTATTTTTATTATATTTTATAAACCCTTCACTTTCCAACAATAAAAAACCCTTATGTTTGTTCTTTTTTTTTGTAAAATTTTCACTTTCTAACTATTTTAGAAATATTTTTTTGTCGTTTTAAGATATTTTTTAAATATACACGACTATTTTATAATATTAAAAAATTTATATAAAATTGATTAATTAAAAAAAATATTTCTTATAATTTTTAAAATTATCTATCATCTCAAAAGAAACTATTATATACAAATTTTATCACACATGCATCTTTATTAAGTTCATAACATATTTTAATCTTTTGTCTTATTACATTATTTATTTAATTACATATTTTTTTAGCAAACTAAACACACACTGAAAGTTTAATTGAAAAATTACATGTGGCACATAACAGATATGCATTCTTTAATGATGTGTCATTGCTTANTTATATAAAATTGATTAATTAAAAAAAATATTTCTTATAATTTTTAAAATTATCTATCATCTCAAAAGAAACTATTATATACAAATTTTATCACACATGCATCTTTATTAAGTTCATAACATATTTTAATCTTTTGTCTTATTACATTATTTATTTAATTACATATTTTTTTAGCAAACTAAACACACACTGAAAGTTTAATTGAAAAATTACATGTGGCACATAACAGATATGCATTCTTTAATGATGTGTCATTGCTTAATTGATTTATTTGACATTTTTATTTTAATTTTTATTAATTAAAACAATATTCATTATTTTTTATTTGATGACCATTACATTTGTATAAAACTTTAAAATAGTTAGAAATTATTTATCAAACACATTATATATCATTATTAATAATTTATTAAAATAAGTGATATTTTATTTTTAGATTTCAAAATTTAGAATATATATGAGCCCGTGCGAAGCACGGGGTTGATACTAGTATGAATTAATTCAATGAATTCCCATGGGGTGAAGCTATATGGGAAGAGTTGTTAACACATGTTGGGAGATGTACGCTATAACGCCTCGAAAATAGGTCAATCAGAATTAATTAATTGATAATTAATAAATTACTCAGAAAGAGCCAAAAATAAGTGATTTATAAAGTTTGTCAATAAATAATGAAAATTATATCATTTTGTAGAGTTTGACTGTCTGGTCACAACGGTGTAATCGGATCTTAATTTGGAGAAAGTTGGACCGAAAAGTGTACCCCGACTGGACCAAAATTAGTCCGAATCAGAGATAATGTATAAAGTCCCAGAAGAGGCACTGCTCCTTCCACTATCGTGAAATCACCGAATAGCTACAAGGATTCTAGTGGTCGTTTCCTCCTCCACTCCCCTATATAATCCAATTCAATCTTCCTCATTTCTTTACCAAACCATCCTCTTCTTCTTCCTATTCTGTTGCTCTAAGTAAGGAGAACACACTAGTTCTGTCAATTTGGTGAGAGGTCGGGTCGGAGTTAGGAGTTATCATCACCGGAAGTTTCGCCAGAGAATTTCCAAAACCTTCATTTAAGCCCAAGGTAAGCCCGTAGATATATCTAGTGATTAGAATGTTCGTATAAATTGTTTCTACGTTCATAAACACTCGTTTGGTTGAGTTTTGTGTTGGACATGCTTGAAGAACCAAGAATCATAAACCATGAAATTGATGTTAAAACTACGAACTAATGTTATCAAAATGATCTATGAACCTTGGAGAATATTTCTATGTAGTTTAATTGAAGTTCGGTGACTAAAAATGACATTTCTGAAAATTGGCCCGAGGTTGAAGAACGGTAGCCAGCTACCATCCGGACGTTACCTTGGTACCGCTGGCAGGGAATTAGAACGGTAGCCAGCTACCACTCTTTTCTATAAAAACAGTAAAATATGAAGTAATAATAATAACTAGTGGTATTTTAATAAAAAAGTACAGAAGTAAAATCACTAATTAATTGTTTAAAATAAATAATAGTATTAATATTAAGTGTTTTTTTAATATTAAGTGCTATTTTTCTAAATAACAATTAGTGTTTTTATAAAAAAAAGTGTGGTAAAACTAACAATTAATTTTTAATAATAATAGTAATAATAATAAATTAAAATAATAATAATAATAATAATAATAGAATAAGAAAATAATAATTAATATGAAGTAATTATAATAATTAATAACAAATAATAATAATTATAATAGAAGAAGAAGAAGAAACAAAACAAAAAGTAAAAGAAGAAAAAAACAGGGGTGGGGGGAGGAATGTACTGGAAGGCGAAGGAGAAAGAAGAAAAGAAGAAAAGAAGAAAAGAAGAAGAAGAAGAAGAAGAAGCAGAAGGAGGAGGAGGAGAAGAAGATAACGGAAGAAGGGGTGTTAACGGAGAGAGTGACGGATTGTCATCCCGGAGTCAATTTTCGAATATCTTAAGATACCTCGGAGTATATTTTGAAAAACAATGGGACCTGAGAGTTCTTATTACAAAATTGGGGGTACCCAGCAGCAATTTTTTGGATAAAAATTAATGCCAAATATTGTCATTTGTTAGATTATTTTTAACCTAGTTGAAGTTCACTCTTAATTAACTTTATGTCATTGTTTCACGTGTAAAAAAAACTAAAATAGGGTTAAAAATAATAGTTCTAAATAATAATGAAAATCCTTGCAACCACACCAAAATGTTATATTCCCCAAAAGCTTTCAAAAAAAAATGAATTTTAAAAAGACTTTGAGGTGTTTATTATTTGAATTTATATATAAGCATTTTTATAACCAATTACTCCCTCCGTCCGGAAATATTCTTCCCACTTTCTTTTTTGGTCCGTCCGAAAATATTCTTCTCATTTCCTTTTTAGTATACTTTTTAAGGATAAATATCAATAATACCCTTCTATTTTATCACAAATCTACTTTTTTAGTATTTTTTAATAATAAAAGGAGATTTAAAAGTTTATAGTATGTGCATTTTTGAAAATTTTGCATTTTTTTTACTATTCCTTAATAAGCGTGCCAAGTTAACACGGGAAGAATATTTTCGGACGGAGGGAGTATTAAATGCCAAATTATTTTTTTAATTTGATTTTAATGTCTATAGTGTTAAAAAATGCATTACATATAATTCTAAATATTACATTGAAATAATTGAAATAATCAATAAAAAATTTATTCGATCCCATGCGTGACACAGATTAAATTACTAGTATTTTTAAAAATAAAAACATTTACACCTTGTTATGAGGGTGACATCTGAAATTGTGGGAGGAGGGAGACCGCAAATTATATTGTACATCCGGATGTACGGTTCTTTCCGTACATCCAGCTAAAAATTGATCAGAATTAGGGTTGAATCAGCCGTCCACTTCAATGTCTTCGTCGCCATGTTCGTCTCCTTCGTCTGCAGAACCTTGCTCTCCGCCCTCCTTTGTGGCCGCAGCAGCTCTGCGGTTCGGGAAACTGGGAAACCAATATTGAAAGTGCTACTTGCTCCGTGTGTTTGTCCACTTTTGACTTTTGGAACTGTTCATCTAAGCACTCTGACTCATCAAATTCTCTCAATGTGTAAGCCTAAAAATAGTCATGTGTGATCTTGTTTGATTCGTTTAACATATAGATTATTAATATATAATTTTTATAATTTTTTAATATACAAATTACAAGATAAAATGGATTAAAGAAGTGCATTGGATGGTGTGCAAAAATGAAAATGGACAAATACTCAGGGACGGAGGGAGTATAAATTTGCATATAAATTTGGGTAGCCGACAACACAACTAATTAATTACAAGTTACAACACTCAGATTCCGGCATGTCCCTCTTCCTAGCAAATAAATAAAACCGACAACACAACTAATTAATTACAGCACTAGACAATTTTTTTTTGTTTTTTTCGTGGGGTTTTTAATTACTCCGTATATTATATTTTTCAAATGTGAAAAGGGATGAACTCTATTTACCTGAGAATGAGCACTACGTTATTTGAGAATGGGTATCACTTTGTTTAAGAATGAAAACTACATTATTCGTAAATAAATACGGAGTATTATAACTATATTGAAAAATTGTGTGAAAATGAGTATTTCGTTATTTGAGAATGAACATTTCCTTATTTGAGAATGAGTATTGTTTTTTTTAAGAATGAACACTACGCTATTTATTATAATTATATCAGACAAATGTGTAAAAATGAGTACTTTATTTTAAAATGAGTACTACCTTTGTCAGAATGAGTACTACGTATTTTGAAATGAATGTTAATATTTGTACGAGAATGAGTACTACTTTATTTCAGAATGAGTACTACCAGGATGTACCTATTTCTAGGTACATCCGTACGTACCATATACCAACTCGAGGGAGACACGGTCACAAGGAGTTCTAAAATATAAATTGAACCGAAGGCACCTAGGTCCCCACAGGTGTTTGACAACCTTCAATCCCACTGCTATTATTCCTGCAAACCTAGAACTTTCGCCCCAAGGTCCCCACCTTCTAATTTCTCGGCTTTTCTAAAATCAAGTTGACTTCGGAGCTCAAGGCAAGAAACTATGCTTTTGGATTTTGAGGTGTATTTATTTTACTGGGTCTAGAGTTCAGCAGTATCTGCTCAATTGTTGAATACCGGAGGACTCCGTATATCGTTTTGTATTGGAACCAGGTAAAAGACCTGAGTACCCTGTTTCTATTTATCTTCTTCTATTGCTAACACGTGAGGAAATGGTCGAATCTTTAACGATATCTTGTTTAGCTATTTCCATTACCACTTTACTTGCTTGACTTCTTGTGATCTTATCTGATGAAGTTGTATTCAGTTGTTTCTTACAGTGCTGTTTCTCAGTTGCGATCTTAAAGTTGCCTTAGCTAATGCAAGAAGTTTCGTTTTTGTCTGTTTGTTTAGTATCTTACTTGATTTTGACATTTCGTCCCATGATTCTGTGGGCTGTGGTTATTCGTATCATATATTTATGTTGGTGATATGCATGCCAGTGGATTCATGAATTGAATTGATAGAGTAGTTCTTCGCAAATTATATTATACAACCGGCTGTGCCGGTCAAACGAAATGGAAATTTCAGATCGGAGATGGAGAGGGGCAGCGCACCAGATTGACGAAGGGCAGTGCAAGCGCTCTCACTGCTATTTCCGTCTCTCCCAGCCCAATCGGACGGTAATAGAACGGACAGACTCTTGTTCAATTGTGTGCCCAGACTCTTGTTCGTTGCCGAAATCTGGTTCAGTATTTCCCCTACTCCCCTATTCAGTGCTTTTTTTGTAAGCCTAACGATGATGATGTTACTAATTGTTTAATTGTGAAAGAATTGAAAATACTTTATTTGAGAATGAGTATTTCCTAATTTGAGAATGAGTATTGTTTTTTCTAAGAATGAACACTACGTTATTTTTTATAATTATATTAGACAAATGTGTAAAAATGATAACTTCTTTATTTTAAAATGAGTACTACCTTATTTCAGAACGAGTACTACGTATTTCGAAATAAATATTTATATTTGTACGAGAATGCATACTACTTTACTTTAGAATGAATACTACCTGGATGTACCTAACTCTAGGTACATCCGGATGTACCATATACCTTCTCGTAGTTCTTTGGGCTTTCATAACTTTTTTTTCTTGTACCCAATATTAGGGTTTCATTGAGTATGCTTCCAGGAAGCTGTTTAATTTGAGTTTGATTCTGACACTGTCCGGTGCTATTGTTCTTATCAATGACTAGTTTTAAAGATTAAATATCTTCCCTGGCCCTTGATGTTTTTAAAGAGGCGATTAGTTAGGACCTAAGACTTCTTATCCTTAATGAAGATATGACCTTAGATGGAGCGTACGGAGAGCGAGGACTAAGGTAGTTGGTAGGCTTCTTGGCTTGGTAGTTTTTTTGCACTTGTCGTTATGTGCTTTCTTTGTTTGGTGCTTTGTGCTTGCTGCTTTTCCCTTCGTACACATCAGTTTGCTCTTGGCTACTCCTTTTCTGTGTTATGCCTTTTGTGCTCAACTTGCTGCATGTGTTACTTGAGGCTCCTGCAAACAGCCTCCCTACTTTTGAGTAGGGGTAAGGTTTGCTTACACACACCCTCCACACACCCTACTTTGGTGGGATTCATCAAGGTTGTTGTTGTTGTAATGTTGTTATAGATCTTTTACCATGAACATGAAAAAAAGCAGAACAGGGAATTTCCCCAATTTGGATACGAGCCTTACTCTTTATCTTGGAGAGCCTTTGAACTTAGTTTTCCTTGTTTTTTTTCACATCCTAGGTTAAGTTTTTCTGGTGTATCAACATGGGTTCTCCTCAGTCCATCATATCACCATACAAAGAGTCCAGTTTTATTGCTGAACCTGAGAAGAAGATTGAATCCTCAAGGAAGAGCAGGGGTCTCTCTGGTGGAATTTCTGTTCAAAGAGAGGATGGCACAGCAAATTTCATTGGTGTCCTTGATGTTTATGTACACCAAGCTAGGGATATCCATAACATCTGCATTTATCACAAGCAAGATGTTTATGCCAAGCTTTGCCTGACAAGCAATCCTGAAAATGCACTCGCCACAAAGATCATAAACGGTGGTGGGCAAAGTCCTGTTTTCAATGACGTCCTTCGACTCAATGTCCGTACCCTTGAATGTTCTCTCAAGTGTGAAATATGGATGATGAGTAGAGTGAGGAATTATATGGAAGATCAATTGCTGGGCTTTGCATTAGTTCCTCTATCTGAAGTCTTCATTGATAATGGGAAGTTAGACCAAGAGTTTCCTCTCTCATCAACTGATCTCTTCCATTCACCAGCAGGATTTGTAAAGCTTTCCTTCTCTTACAGTGGCGAGTGGCCAGAAGTCATTCCCATTCCTGTTCCACCCACATCTAGGATGATGGCTGATAAAGCTCTGCAGGATACACATCCCGAGTCCTTACCTAACATGTTGGAAAAAATTGAGTTTCCTGACCCTAAAGTAGTGAGTGAAAATGATTTGATGGTTTCTGAGTATTTTAGCATTCAAAGCAATAATTTAGAATCTCATGGATCGGATAGCTTCTCTGCTGACGCCAAGAACCAGTGTAATTCAGAGTTAGATGATAATGCTGGTGAGACCTTTCCTACATGGACTGTGGACTCCCACCATCATGAAAAACATGATTCTCCATCAAGCAATCTGTCAACTAACGAGTCCCCTCCATTCGCTTCACTCCCAGCTGCAAGTTCTCATTCTTCTGCTACACCTGGAGGTTCAAAGTTTCTAAATGAAGAGTCTATTCAGCCCACTGAGGAATACACCACTGTAGAGAAGAAATCAGATGTCTGCGAGGATACTGGACGCAATGCATCTGAAAACCTTCATCCCGATACATTTCCCAAGCCAGTTGTCACAGTAAACATTGAGTCAGAGGTACAGGTTGTTCAAAAGGACATTGTTGATATGTACATGAAAAGCATGCAGCAATTTACTGAGTCCTTGGCGAAGATGAAGCTTCCGTTGGACAGTGATGGTGGACCAACAACCAGTTCTGGCAACTCAAGTTCAGAGAAATTGGAAACACCCAAGAGTTCAGGCTCACGGGTGTTTTATGGAAGCGGAGCTTTCTTCTGAGCTATCTAACCGTTTTTGTTGTAAACAAGTGATTTTAGCAATGAGGTTATTAGTTGCATGGTCTTCTCTGTAGTGTGGTGTTACCTAATTATCTATTGTATGTTTGAATCTTTGTATGTTTTGGATGATTGAACAACAACATTAACGTTTACTCTGCTATGCTAGTTTTTATTGTAGTTGTTTGCATCTACTTTTTGACGTCTCTGCTTCTTTTATCAAAGTTAAATGGACTAAATGCAAGCATTGTTTGGACTTTGGAGCAAAGGGACTGAGGGACTACATAAGCACCATTTTGATTAAGTAAGGCCCCGTTTGGTACACGTAATTCAAACTATGTAATTGGAATTGAGGACCTTAATTCTAATTCTGGTGTTCAGTAGCACAAAAATCATGTAGATTTGGAATTGAAAGTGTAAAAAATGAATTGGAGTTGGTGAATTCATTTCTTTAAAATTGAATCCAATGAAATTTCAATTCCAATTTCATCAATTGCGTATACCAAAGAGACCCTAAAAGGGTCCGTTTGGTACATGTAATTGATGAAATTGGAATTGAATTAGAATTAAAATTCCATGGGATTCAATTCCATAGAATTGAATTCCCCAATTTCAATTCATTTTTTGCACTACCAATTCCAAATCCACATTATTTTTGTGCTTCCAAACATGAAAGTTGGAATTGAAGTTTTCAATTCCAATTCCATAATTTGAATTTCGTGTACCAAATGGGGCCTAAAAGAAATTGAACAAATTGAAGCTTGCTCCCTCTCACCTCCTCGCTATGAGGGGAAGTTCTTTCACTTGGAGTGGCATTCGTAGAGCAGGGGAAGGGTGTGGAAAAGGCTTGATAAGACACTGATTAATAATGCCATGATGGAATTCACTCGGGCATCATTTGATCATTTCATTGTTTATCGGCGTGACCCAACACTTGAGCATTATTTGAAAAGAATTTTGGTATAAATATTTTTTCTGAATGAATATGTAGTAAGAAACTAGAAATTAGTTTTTGAGTAAATTCTCAAAATGGTCTTATTTAATAAGGTGTTTCTCAATTCAGTCATCAATAAGTTTTAATTACCTACATGGTCCTCTATAATTGAGATTTATTTCCAAAATAATCCTTATAAATAATGTTACTCAAATGATGATTAATTAAGAAATATTGTGGTATTTTGATCATCCAAATTTAAAGTAATCAAAACAGTTATTTCTGTACAACTAAATTAAAATTAAAAAAATACATTGACTATAAATAATTCATTAATTATTTAAAACTTATATAAAAAACCTTTTAAAGTTCAAATCAAATACAATATTTTAATTAGAAAAAAACCATTTTGGGAAAATGCTTCTTTATAAATGATCATTTTAAGAATTAATTCTAAATTACCAATTTCTTTACCTTGATGACTTGAAATCGGGAAAAATTTGAGAATTGATTTGTGCATATTCCAATCATCGTCTATAAAATGAGCAGTGAGTACCATGTAATTTATATTTTGAACACTTGTCCAAGTGTTAGTGGTTAAAGACACCATATACTTGTGCAAGTCTTTTCTTAAAGTATCTTTCATGCAATCATATAGCTTGAAGAACTACCTCACAATTATTCTCCGATATGGAACACACAACCTAGGTTTCACTTTAGTCATCATCGTCGGAAGCCCTCCTTTTCTACAATATTAAAAAGCATCTCATCAATCACAATGAATTCTACAATACCCTCCACGCTTTCATCTTGACTCCACCCTTTTGCAATAAGCAAACTCTTATTCTCACCTATAACATTCAAACAAAAATTAGCAAGAACCTTCTGATTATAGTTTTCGTTTGCTGCATACTTCTTGCACACATTAAGAATGTGTTAACTTTATGTACTTGTGTCACCTCCACTTGTATCACAAGCAAACACTAGTTCACAATAGTTACACTTAGCCTTTAGTATTGTTACTTCTACCATTTCTTTTTTGCATAAACCATTACTTTTTGCATTTCGCTGATGGTACATTTGGTGACATGATTCCGAACCCATGATCTTTCCTTGGTAGCTTTAGGATTTGATGGTGCCTTTCTCTTTTTTGAACATGCGTGACTTTGAGGCTTGATACTTTGTAAATCTTTAACAAAAGGTATAATGTACACTTGAAAATTAAACAAATATGGAGTATCAAATTACACAAAATATTTAGCATCCATCAAACATACCTCTTATCTCAACCAAAGTGATTGAGCAAGACCTTTTTAAAATTGAAATAGGAGTATAAGAATAATGAAATTTGTTTTTTCTATCACTAAATTTTAAACAGATTCTCAACACTAATTTTAAATATGCGTTAGTTAACCAAGTCACTTATATATTCAAGATAGTTTTACAACCAAGTATTCATAAGAAAACTAAATGGCATCTCATAGAAATCGTAAGAGCTTCTAAATTAATATAAAAAGTTTCTATGTTATTTAGAAAATTAAAGTAGAAAATAGAAAAAAGTTGGGTAGGCAAAGGCATACCAATGGCCTACTGTGATAGATTCTGATTGGGGCAAAAAGCTCAGCTCGTTGTTGTTGTTGTTGTTCTTATTATTATTATTATTAT